ATTGCATCTTTAGGCTCAAATCATTATCCATGGAATTTACTTACATCTCTAAAGAGAGAGAAGCAAAAGCCAAAGAAGCTGAAATGGGCATGTGGGCCACAAATCGGTGGCAGGAGATTTCCAGGAGCTCTCCTCAGAATTCCCCCTGCCTGGAGAAGACACCAGTGGTGGCACTGTGGGTATAGGAAACCCACAACATGGTATTCTGGCAGCGGGAAGCTGTTCCCTGTGTCCTGTGCCTCCATCCCTTGTCCAAAGTCCCTTTCCAGCTCTCCTGGATCCCCTTTAGGCACTGGAAGGGGCTCTCAGGGTGTGGCAAAGCTGCTGCAAGCGCTTGTGCTGTGAGAGCAGTCATGGTTGGGGTGGGGAGGGCTCTGTTTGAGGGATTTCCCACCTGGACAGGGCTCTGTGGTGTGGAACCTTTTCCCCAAGGAGCCCCAAATCCAGAGCTGTGCTCCTGGGCAAACAGGCCTGGAAAAGCACAGAATCCATGAAGTTGGAGAAGACCTCAGAGATCACAGAGTCCAACCTAGGACCCAGCAAGACCATGGCACCAGGAAGGCTGGAGAAACCCTCACCAAGGGGCAGAGAGAGATCCCATCCCCCTCGCTGTGGTCAGGCTCAGCGTTATGGGCGCAGCTCCCTCCTTTTCCTTGCTCCTCCTTTCCCTGCCTTTTGGTGAGGGGCAGAGCGGGCTCTGGGCTCCCTGGCAGAGCATCTCCCATGGATCACGTCTGCTCCTCCAGGCACAGATCGTATCCTCTTTCCCTGGCACCAGCACAGCCCCAGAGTGGCACCCCCAGGACAATGCCTTGGCCGGCTCCGGCGCTGACCCGGCCTGTGGGGATGGGGGTGAGGGGGCCAGGAGGCACCGGGGAGGTTGAATAACGTGGTGTGGAATATCATTGTTCCAGCCAGGATGAGTAAGAGCACAGCTGAGCCTGGTCACCGACGGCACTGCCACCATTCCGGGGGAGGCAGGGGCTCGGCGACGGCTGCACAGTTGAAAATCGAGACAATGAGTCTATAAAAGTTTAAGAACTGAATAGATCCCGGACATTTGGTTCTCATTATCACCAAATAACATATAAATAAACATACAACAGAACCAAGAGCAGCATCTTCCTCGCCCCCTCTGCAAGGAGTTGTGTTTAGGCTGAAGTCGGCCTCCTTGGCCAAACCTCCTCCTGTGTGCTCTGGGATGGAATTGTTCTTCCTTCAAAACACAGCAAAGCCTGATCCAGGCAGGAAAATGAGGTGTCAATGTGCTGCTGCTCCTCAAAAGTCAGCAGTGCAGGGGGAAATGTGAAAATAAACCCAGCAAGAGTCAATATAGCTGTTTTGTTTTTTCTCTTGTTGTAAAAGCCCATCCCATCCCCTGCCATGGGCAGGGACAGCTTCCTCTATCCCAGGTTGTTCCAAGCTCCCTCCATCCTGGCCTTGGGCACTTCCAGGGATGGGGCAGCCACAGCTGCTCTGGGCAACTCAGTGTTCATTGTGAGAATTCATGGAGGAAGGTGAGAAGGAGAGATCAATGATCAGAGACACTGCAATGCCCTGAGAGGGAAAATCTTGGAAGAGTCCCTGGCAGAGCTAGGAAAAAAGGCATGAATGTGATTCCTTTGTACATCTTGCTCTTCTAAGATGAACAGATTGCTCAATCCCTGCCCCTATGGAAGCAGTTGGACACAATTATCTTTCCTGCATGGACAGAGCTCACAGTTACTGAAAAAAAAAACATTCTTAAGCAAAGCAGATTGTATGGAACATCTTAGATCTCACTGAGGAAAAGGAATTGGGACTGCAATGCTGGATGCAGGCTCCATAAAATCAAGATTCTCTTTCCTAAGGGCTTGTAAACACCGATGGATGTGCAGTTGGAGTGCCAGGATTTCAGGTTTTAGGAGACTTTATTGTACTCTTGCTGTTGAGAACATCACTGAGAGAGCAAGGGATGGCTTTCCTCAAAAGAAAGTCAGGAATTCCAAAGCTTTTAGGTCACACATGTTAAACTGAGTCTGCAGCCTGCTGCAGGAATTGCAGCTGCTGCCAAAATGTAAATGGGAAATGGGCTCAAAGCTGCTTTACATCACTCAGAGATTCCCTGATCTGTGGAATTCACATGGAGAGGGGCACTCAGACCTGCCACCTGTGCTGTGCAGAGCTGTACCCCTTCCAAAGGGAGGGAAGGGAGAGCTCCTACGCTGCAGCAGCTTCCTCCCACCTGTGGTTAAATCCTGCTGGGATGGGAAGGCAATGCTGGAAAAACCCCAGCAAGTTTGGGAATCAAGAGAAGAAGTCATTCCAGACACGTCCCCTCCTCTCCCCTCTGCCCAGGGAGAGGATGCCCGTGTCCATTCCAGACACGTTCTCCTCCTCTCAGCCTCTGCCCACCCTCCCCAGGACCCTCTCCACTGCTCTTTAATTTCCCATCCAGAGCATCAGGGATGCCCTGTTCCTTCTGCAGCCTCCCCACCCTCTGGCTCCTGCTTCTCCTGGGCCAGGACTCTTGGAGGATAGGCAGGAGACAAAAAACAAACCTGTGAGTTCTTCATCCATGTAATGAAGTTTCTCAGGGATGACAGAGGAAGAGGAGGAAATGCTCAGAACAAGAGGAATTAAAACAAAATCCTGCAGAAACTGGAACCATGGGCTGTGGGGCTCGACTGGTCCAGGTGTGAGGATCCCACTTATTAATTATGTTTTAATTCCATCATTACATGGGATTCCTTTTTAATTAGTGGGGTGCTGGTCAGCTCTAGGAGGCAGAAATCCCTCAGGTGAGGATTTGGCCTAAATCCCTGATGAGATCAAGGCAGGAATGGAGAGCTCACATCTTCCCACTGACCCAGCCCCAGGCTGACCTGACCTCTAAAATTCACTTTCAAATTTACCTGAATGACTCTGGAAAAGGGGATGAGGCTGCTGCAAGTGTGAGTAGGTCCATGTAGGATTGGGGTTGGGATTTTCATCTTGGAAAACAGGATTTTGGTGGTGCAGGAGTTGGTCTTGATGATCCTTGTGGGTCCCTTCCAGCTCAGGGTATTCTGTCATTCTATGAAAACCAGTAACAACACCAAGCACTCAAATAATTATAAATGTTCCTGAAGTAATTGCAGGGTTTTGAACAGAGGGTTCATTTGTGTTTATTTGGTTTTTGCTCCTCAGTTGTTGGGGTTGGCAGCGCTTGATGCTTCCAGTTTTGATCTTCCCAAATATTAGGGAAACGTTTCTTTCTTAAATGAAAAGAGAGGCTCTCATGGAATTTCATGTCTATGACACAGGACTTGTAGGAAAAAAAAACCCTACTGCAGGAAAACAAGGCCAGGAAGGGCTGGAAAAGGTCGTCCTCCTCCCCAAAGGCAGGACAAGGCCACCGTGGGATCCTTTCTGGCTGGGATCCGTGGCATGAAGACCCCACAAACTCTCAGACGTTGTGTCCCAGGGCTTGGAAGGGTTTCTCATGGAAGGGACAGTCTGGTGGGAAACTCACCCTGCCCCCAGGTCTGGCAGCACAGACCTGGCAGGGACCACCCAGCTCTGGGAGCCCACCCAGGGGGCTCACAGGACCCAGCCCAGGGATGTGCTGGTGACAGTCCCCGGTGCTGGCCCTTCCCGGGGATGGCTGTGACACCTCCCAGCAGTGACAGTCCCTGGTGCTGGCCCTTCCTGGGGATCTGGGGATGGCTCTGACATCCCCCAGCAGTGCCAATCTTTGTGTGCTGGCCCTTCCTGGGGATCTGGGGATGGCTCTGACATCCCCCAGCAGTGACAATCCTTGGTGCTGGCCCTTCCTGGGGATGGCTCTGACATCCCCCAGCACTGCTGACCTGTTCTGCTTCATGTGATCCTCCAAAACCAGCTGGAACCCTCCTCTGCAGTTCCACCTCCTCTGCAGCCATTACCACCTCCTATTTAATCCCATGTTTCCTTTTACTTTTCCAAATCACATCCTATTCTCTCCAGGCCACCTCTCGAGTTTGTTCGGAACATCTCTAATTTCTCAATTCGAATTTCCTGGCAGCCTGTGAGCATCACACAGCACCTTAATCATGTCATTATCCCTCTCGTTATCAATTAAACCCCCTGATTGGAAATAGAGCCAGCACAGGCATTGCCAACTCCTTTTGGTGAGCTTTAAGGTCCTTCCAAAGTGAACCAGGTGGGATTCGATACCATGCTTCCCTCTCCAAATCCACTCCTCTCCCCGGTTCACTCTTTCCCAGGCTGTTTTCCAGCTTTCATTACTTTCCAGCAGTGCCAATCAACCTTTTAAAAGCTGGAGAAGCTGGAGAACATTCACATAGCCCTGGGCACTCCGTGCTCGGCGGTGTCCCCCGGCAGAGCGGTGACAACGCTGTCCCTGCCCGGGGATCGGTGGCGTTTGGTGTCTGCTCCCAGGAATGCTCCGCCGGCTGCGGGGACAGCGACTGGCGGGACTGCGGGCACCGGGCCGGGATCGGCTCCATCGTACCGGGATGGGCATCGGGATGGGGATGTCAGCAGGGACTGGGACTCTGATCGGGACCGGGATTGGAACTGGGATGGGAAGCGCGACTGAACCGAACTGGAAACGGGCCCACCCTTCACCGCGCCTGTCCGTTCCGGGACAGGGATAGAAATTAGGGATAGGGGATAGAAATTAGGGATACGGGATAAGAATTAGGGATAAGCGATTGGGATAGAAATTAGGGATAAGGGATCGTGATGGCAGCGGGGCGCGGCTCCAGCCCGATCTGACCCGCCCTCTAATTTGCATAACCCCGCCCCTCGATGTCACCGCCCCTGCCCAGGCCCCGCCCCCCGGCCGGACGCTGAGGCGGTGCTGCCGGGGTCGAGCCCCGCCCCTCCCCGCCCCGCCGGCGGCCCGGCCCCGCCCGCCGGGGTGGCCCCGCCCCCTGGCGGGGCGCTGGCGGCCCGGCCGCGCAGCCCGCGGTGCCCGGCGCGCCCCGGGAGCAGCAGCGCTGGGGCCGCTCCGCGCCGCTCCGCCCGAGCGCACCATGGGCGCGGAGCGCAGGGCGGCGGCGCCGGCTCCCCGCGGCTGCGCCTGCGGCGGCAGCGGCGGCAGCTGGCGGCTCTTCCTCGGCTTCTTCGCGCTGTCGCTGGCGCTGCACGTCCTGACCCTGGGCTGTTACCTGGAGCTGCGCTCCGAGCTCCGCCGCGACCGCGGCCCGCAGCCCGCGGCCCCGCCGCGCCGGGACGGGACGGCGGCAGCGCCCGGAGCCCCGGCCGGGGGCCGCCCGCAGCGCGCGGCCGAGGGCGCGGAGCGGCGCCAGCAGGTGGGTCCGGCCGGGGGCGGGGGGACGGCGGGGGCTCCGCGCTGCTCGGGGCCATCCCCCGGCTCTATCCCCGCGCTCGGGGGCCGCGCCCCGGGGCGCTTCGGAGCGGCCCCTCGGGGGAGTTTGGTGGAAAAAGGGGGGAAAGCCCCAAGTCGCGGTGCGGGGGTGAAGTACCGGGGAAGCTCGTCTGAGCTGGGGGTGACGGGCTGCGGGACCGCCTGTGTTCCACCTGCTGCTCGCAGTTTCCCTGTCGCGACAGACCCGCCGTGTGTCCCGACAGCGCAGAATTGGCCGGGGGCAGCGGCTGTGCCCTGGCCTTTGCGGGGTGCCCCCAGTTGTGGGGTGCTGCTGCCGGGGACCCCGGCACGGTTCGGCCCCGCACCCCGTGCGCGCTGGGTCCCGGTCCCGCACGGCCTCCGCTCGCTCCCCTCCTTCCTCCTGCGCTGTGTTCCTGATTGCGCTCCTCTCCCAGCCCAGGTGCATCATCCTTTGGGTGATGCCCCCCGCAGCAGCTGCTCAGCCTGTGCAGGACAGGTGGGCAGCAGCCTCCCGGTTGTCCCCGCCGCTGTCCCCAGCCCTTGGGGGGGTCGCCTGTCCCGGGAGCTTCTGGGAGAGCCGGAGCGGAGCTGGGGCCTCCGCTCGCAAACTTAGCTCATTTTTTCCAGGCACGAAACCTCGCTGCGAGCAGGATAAGCTGGAGGAAGGAGTTTCCTCCCCTCCGAGCCTCCGGAGCGGATGGCCCGCTCCCCCAAGGTGCCGGGTGGCTTTGCCGCGGAGTCGCAGCGGGGTTTCGGGGGAGATGCCAAGCCCTGCCTCGGCACCCCGGCGGTCCTCGCCTTGCTGCTTATCAGTGCGTGGGGGGAAGGACAAAAATAGCTTTGATAAAGCGGCGAGTTTGGAACTCTTCCTCCCACTTGGCAGCGGGAGCCGTTCCGCCGCGCCGGCCTCGGCTGCCCCCGGGAGAGCCGGGCTTGCGCTTCCTTCGCTGCCCGGGTCCCGCAGCTTCCCATAATAAATCCGAGCCCAGCGTTGGAGCGGAGGGAAGCCGAGCTCCCGGGTCATCGCTCTGCCCTCGCTGCCCCTCCAGCAGTGTCAACACAGAGCGAGCCCGAGCGGTTTGATGTCGTGCTGGGATTCCTGGGTTGCCTTGGAATAGCGCGCGGCTGGAGTGCCTTTCGTGTTATCGTGCTGGATCTGTTTAGTCTTTCGAGCTCTTCTTTCCAGCGAGCGTATAATGAAATACCAGGGCAAATACTTGAGGCATTCATAAATTACAGCGTTAGATAATTTGTCTCTGGATGCGGACGGAGCTCCGAGCGTCGCTCGCTGCAGCTGACGGACTCCAGATAAGGTAACGCTAATTATTTATTTCTTTATTCTACATCTGGCCTGTCAGGCTTGAGATGAAATACTCTTTGGGGCACATTGAAGCAGTTGGGTTGGAGAGAAGGGTTGCTGGTAGTAGGGAATGAAGGCTGAGCGTCCCGAGCTGCTCCGGTTGGGAACGCTGCTGTGAAAACATGTGATTAATGGGATTTGTAGTGGTGCTGCTCACCCGTTTCTTGCTGATTTTTCTGCCTTGCAGCTAAAAACAAGCACTTTGAGTGTCCTGGGGTGCTGTGAGTGCATCCCTTCTGTGATTAAAGCAGTGAAATGAGGGATTGCAAACAGCTTTATTTAGAAAGTTATTGTCCAGCTTTGGGGTACGTGAGGGGTTCCCAGCAGCGCTTCCGAGCTGTGCTGCTGATAAACCCAAAGTGTGATCCCATACATGTGATGCTTGCATAAATTGGGCTGAAATTACTAAATAATTAATTCAAGCAATGTGATCAATGACATTTCTCTCCTGAGGACCATGGTCAGAGTTCATTGTGGGGGAACCAATGAGCACAGTGCTGTGAGCCCTCAAATGTCCTTCAGCTGCTGAGGTCTCTCAGTGAAGAGGCCGAGTGCTGTGTGTGTTGTGATTGTACAATCTCATTTAAACTCAAAATATATTCCCCTTCCTGACCCTTTTTTCTTTATTTTTAAATTATTTTATTCCCCCTCCCCTTCCTGACCTGAGGCAGGAGGAAGAGGAGCGTGGGGGGAAGGACGGGGAGCGATGGTCAGCGCCGAGATTTTGGCCCAAACCTCACCTGGCCCCGTGCCAGAAATGACCTCATGACAGGAGTGAGATTTGGCAGCTCGATAACGCCCCGCTTCCCTATCTCACAGGGTATCCAAATATGTAACTCATTTGGGATGGAAGGGCAGATTTTCATGGCAGAGGTTGAGACATTGTAGTTCCACATCTTTGTCCCAGAACCCGCTGGGTGTTGCATCACCGCGCTGGCTGCGAGATGAGGAGTTTGTTAGAGCTGCTTTAATTCATTGACTCTTCAGTGGCTCGGAGGTGTGAGAGAGGGTTTGGGGAGTGGTGGAGCCTTGGCTCCACCAATAAAATGCAAATAATCCCTCTGGATGGGTGTGCTGTGGGATGGGAGAGGGATTCAGGCTCTGCTTGTGGAGATCCACATCAGGGCACTGTGTCCCTTTGGAGGATTTTGTGCCTAAATGAAATCGTATTTTGCTGTCAAAAAATCATCCTTGCAATATTTGAGTTGTGCAGAGCATCATTCTCGTGCTTTTTCTCCAACCAACTCCGTGTGCTGCCACATTTCTGCCAAAACTTGTTCTTTGGCCAATGCTGGGTGAAATGTGTGCCCTGAGAGTGTCCCAAGACGGGGATAAAAACTTCCAAAGCCTGGGAATGGGATCAAAAGCCATCGGTTTTGTCAAACTAATTGTAGAGGCGCTTGCAGCTGGTGGGGGGAGGGAGGGGAGGTGCTGAGTCATCCAAAAAAATGTGCTGAGCAGCAATTTGCTGACTGGCATTTCACCTTCCCGGTGCCAAGGTGTCTGATCTCAGTCTCCACTTCTCACCTTTTTAACAAGGGATGTTCCCACTTTGGAGCAGTGCCCACATCGGTGTTCCTGATCCTTGATTTCATGGAGTAGTTGGGCTGGAAGGGACCTTAATGCTAATTTAGTGCCACCCCTGCCATGGGCAGGGACACCTTCCGCTAGCCCAGGTTGCTCCAAGCCCTGTCCAGCCTGTCCTTGGACACTTCCAGGGATCCAGGGGCAGCCACAGCTTTTCACAGGGCCTCACCACCCTCACAGGGAAGAATTTCTTCCTTGCTTTTCCCTCACCAGTGTGAAATTGCAGTTATTTTTCCCTTTTTTGTTAATTCTGGCTCTGGAGTAAGAGGCAGCTCTTGGTGTGGCTGGCACAAAGGCTCTAAAGGTGTGGAAGCTGCTCCAGAGGCTTCTCCCTCCCTGAGCATACCTGTGGCTCATCCATGCATCTTCATCTCCGTGTCTGCCTCCTGCATCCCAGCTGAAACCTGCCCAACGTGCTGAAAGCTTTGAGTAGAGCTCGTGTTGGAAATGCTTCTCCAGCCTCCTCTGGCAGCAGCCTCAGCACGGCTCCTGTGGGCTCTGACCTTTCAGGGCCTGTGTGTTGGGATATCATGGCTCTGCTCCCAGGTTAGTGACAGGCTGGGTGTGTGCAGAGGGAAGATGCTGATTAGGGATGTGCCCTCACAGTGGATTTTCCCTCAAATTCCACTTTGTGGTGCTGCTTGTAACTGGAAGAAGCTCTCAGAGGGCAATAAAGGGAGCCTGTGGAGCTCTGTGGCAAATGTCAGGCTCTGGTTACCTTCATTCACGACTCAAATTCTCCATCCCTGCTGCTCTGCCTGTGAATATTCCATGCACAATCTGGCCTGAATCCAGAACTGCTCCTGTTGAGATGCTGCAGAGTGGCAGGAGCCTGGCAGTGCCTGTGGGATGTGTTGCATCCTTTGGGAAATTAAATACAGTGTGAGCTTTCCCCAAGGGCTGGAGGTGTATCCCTGCAGGTGCTGTGGGGTGAATTCCTGTGTGAGGAGAAACCTTTGGCTGAGTGGGAAGAGCCTGGCTGGTCCTTGGGAATTGTGGAATCACAGAGGGATTTGGGGTGAAGGGACCTCTCAAGGCCATCGAGTTCAGTCTCTCTGCCAAAGGCAGGGACACCTCCAGCTCCATCAGGACCTTCCCAAAGTCCTTATTCCCAGATTTATGGTGCTTTTCTTCTGCCCCTCCATCCTCCTCCTCTGCTGATCTGTGGTTTCATTTTCTATTTTCTGCTCATTCCATGAAGGAGAAAATCTGTGGCTTTGTGTGAGGACCAGGATGTTTTATCAGCATTAACTGAGTTCCTTGATGGAGAATATTGTTGCCAGAGTAAGTGTTTGACTGACCCGTGACCAAATTGCAGGGTTTTTCCACAATTTTTTGATGAGTTCTCTGGCAAATCCTTGAATTTGGGGTTTTAACAACATTCAGTGGCATTCCAAAGTTATCTTCCCCTTAACCCCAGAGTAAATAGTGCCATATCGACCCCATATTATTTTAACCTTTTAACATTATTTTTCTTACCACATAATAACATAAATCTTCCCTGCTCTCCCATACACATGTAGTGTCTTGTAATGCTAATTAAACTGCACACCAGCCTAATTTTGCTCTCAGACTAATCCAATATATTTTTCTTGACTGGAAGCCAAACCCTGAGAGCTTCAGAGCATGCGGAGCTCTCATTCCACTCTTATTATATGTTAATGGCTTTATATTTTAATGTCTTTCAACACTTGGGGAGGATGTTATTTTTAGAGGTGTCTGGCTGCAGAAGGTACGGGTCCGTGAGGGGTTTGGGGGATGTGAAGCCCTGAGTAAACTCCGTGCAGTAAGTGGGAAGCGTGTCCCTGAAGAGGAGTAATCTGTCGGGATCCATTGTGCACGAGCAGGGAGTCCCAGGGAGGTTTGATGTGATTTTTACCGTGGTGTAGTGGGAGATTTGGCTGCAGTTTTACCGTGGTTAAGTGGGAGATTTGGCTGCAATTTGAACGTGGCTAAGTGCCTTTATGGGGCGGTTTCAGTGGTAAGTGCTCTCTCGTTAAACTCTGGGTTTGTGT